GCATGTGAAAACCCCACACTATACCCCAGAAGTGCATTAATGTACATAGTTACCATTCAATAAAAAAAAAACTGAGCATTATAGTGGGTGCCTATAGTCCCAGCTACTTGGGAGGCTGAGGCAAGACAATCACCTTGGCCCAAAAGTCTGAGGTTGCTGTGAGCTATGACACCATAGCACTCTAGGGAGAGTGGGACAAAGTGAGACTTTGTCTCAAATAAATAAATAAATAAGTAAAATAATTAAACCAGAATGATAAAGACGATTAGCATATTTTTAAAAATTATTTTTAAAAATTTGCATCATAATTAACCATAGTAAAATTCTCAGATGTAGGAAAATACAATACTAGTGACTAATCTATAGACTTTATTCAAATTTCACCAACCATTGCACCAATGCCCTTTTTCCAGTTCTGTATACAATACAGCACCACACATTGCATTTAATTATTACTTTTTAATCTTCTGTAATCTGCGACATTTCTTTAGTCTTTCATATCATCCATGACCATGCTAAGCATCTGGCTAATTATTTTATATAATGTCCTTCACTTTGGCTTTGTCTAATGTAGTCTCATGACTAAACTTAAGTTATACATTTTTGGCAAGAATACCCATAGAAGTGATGTTATATTCATTTCAGTGCATGATATCAGAAGGTGTATGATGTCAACTGCCCTATTGTTACTGATGATGGTAACTCTGACCACATAGGAGATGGTGTCTGCCAAGTTACTTCATTCTAGTTTTTCCCTATTTTAATTTTCTTTTTAACCTTCCAAGCAATTTTCCTTCTTTTATCTTTTTTGAGACAGAGTCTCACTCTGTTGACTCCAGCTAGAATGCCATGGTGTCATAGCTCATAGCAACCTCAAACTCCCGGGCTCAAGCAATCCTCCTGCCTCTGTCTCCTGAGTAGCTTGGGGACTATCAGTGCCTGCCACAATGCCCAGCTAGTTTTTTTGTTTGTTTGTTTTTTCCTTTAATAGAGATGGGGTCTTACTATTGCTCAGACTGGTCTCGTAAATCCTGAGCCCAAGCAATCCTCCTGCCTCAGCCTCCCAGAGTGCTAGGATTACAGGCATGAGCCACCTCGTCCAGCCCAATTTTCCTCCTTCTTAAAAAAGATGTCAGTGCAGAAGCATAGCACTGGCCAGTTTTCTACCAACAGTTACTTTAGATAATTCCTTTTTTTTTAATTTTTTTTTTTGAGACAGAGTCTCATTTTGTTGTCCTCAGTAGAGTGCTGTAGCATCACAGCTCACAGTAACCCCTAGCTCTTGGGCTTTCTGTGGCATCACAGGTCATAGCAAGCTCCAGCTCTTGGGCTTAGGTGATTCTCTTGCCTCAGCCTCTGGAGGGTGAACTACAGGCGCCTGCCACAAAGCCCAGCTATTTTTCTGTTGCAGTTTGGCCAGGGCTGGGTTCAAACCCGCCACCCTCAATATATGGGCCGGGCCCCCTACTCACTGAGCCACAGGAGCCACCCAAGATTATTTCTTTCTATAATGCAAAAAAGGTCTTAAATCCTGCCCTCTAATAAGGTTTTTTTTTTTTTTTTCAAGCTATCACCCTGGGTAGAGTGCTGTGGCATCACAGCTCACAACAACCTCCAACTCCTGGGCTCAAGTGATTCTCCTGCTCCGCCTCCCAAGTAGCTGGGACTACAGGCACTTGCCACAATGCCCAGCTGGTTTTTTTGGCTGCAGCTGTCATTTTTGTTTGGTGGGCCGGGCTGGATTCGAACCCACCAGCTCAGGTATATGTGGCTGGCCCCTTAGCAACTTGAGTTACAGACGCCAAGCCTCTACTAAGGTTTTTTTAATGGTTTTGGCATCACAAAACCACCACCACTTTTCAAAACATGTGTTCAGACCAGGCAAGGAGGCTCACCCCTGTTATCCTAGCATGCTAGGAGGCTGAGGGGGGTGGATTCAGCTCACAGGCTTGAGACCACCTGAGCCAGAGCAAGAACTCATCTCTAAAAATAGCTGGGTGTTGTGGCAGGTACTTGTAGTCCCAGCTACTTGGAAGGCTGAGGCAAGAGAATAGCATAAGCCCAGGAGTTCACGGGTGCTGTGAGCTATGACACCACCGCACTCTACCAAGGTGAAGAAGTGAGACTCTGCTTCAAAAAAAAAAAAAA